GATGGACACGGGCGTGCGGGCCAGCGTGGCGGATGAGGGGGAGGTGGAGGTGAGAGGATACAGGGTGGCGGAAGGAGGAGGAGGAGGACGAGGAGGAGGAGGAGGAGGAGGAATAACAGCAGTAATGATACTGATGAGAATAAAAACGATAATGCTAATAACAATGCTAATGCTAATAGAACGAAAAGGCATACTAAGACGAATCATATGATAGTTAAAAGAAGGGTTCTAATATTACGAAGAGTAAACATAACATTCATAATATTAGGAAGAGGATGGTGATGATGAGGAGGAGGACTGTACACCCAAATCCCATTAACGATGTTGTCATGCATCCTCCCTCCAAGTTCCCTCCTCATAGGCCCCGACGAAAAGGGCCCAGCTTTACCGAGGGGAAGTGCTCCGTTGGAAGATAACCTCTGGACGTCCTGCACCGCGCCAGAACACTACTCCTGGGACTCTTCGGCGCAGCGAGTCCACGTTGCTGTTGCAGCCTGACTCGTGCCAGAACGCCGCTCCTGGCCTGGGACTTCCACATCGCGAATCAACGCACCCGTGCCGCCCAGACAATCCTACATCGTGCTCCTATTCCTCCTACTCCCTCCTCCTCCCTCCTCCCTCCTCCTCCTCTTCCTCCTCCTCCTCGTCCGCCTCCTCCTCCTCCTCCTCCTCCTCCTCCTCCTCCTCCTCGGTTCAGCGCCAACTCGGTCCAAGGCCTTTCGGGGCCGTGCGAGCACGCGCTAGGGGTCCCCCTGCCCCGCCCGCGCCCTTCCCTCCCCGCTTTCTCCGGCCCCCTCTTCTCCCCTCGCCGCCCGCGGGATGGTGGGGCTGCCGACCCGGGAGGGTGGCGCCCGCCGCCCCAATCGGCTTGCCGCCGCACGCCGCGCCCAGGCGGTGCGGGCGCAGGGGCGGGCCACCCAACACCTCATGCACCCTCGCGGAGGTGCAGGCGCATAGGGCCCAGGAGCTCTCCCGCCTGGCCCGCGCCCTGCGCCAGGTGCTGGAGGCCGACCGTGAACGTGGAGCTCCTCCCCCCTCGCGATCAGCATCCGCGTGACGCTGATCGACCACGAGTGGTGGATCCTCCGCGAGTGGGCCTTCCTCCACCAGTCGTGGGTCTTCAAGCTGGTGCGCGAGCTGACCGCGGGGATCTGCACCTCCGAGATGCTGGGGCGCATCTTCGACACGCAAGTGTGGATCCTCCGCGTGAAGCGATTCCTCCAGTAGCCGATCCCCCACCAGACGTGCTACCACCAGGTGCGCATGTCCTCCAACGTGGAGACTTCCGTAGCGGTGCGCAGCAGCTACCTCGAGCAGGCGCTATGGGTTAAAGAGCTGACGCTCCATATACCGCATCTCCTGCCCAGTCGGTTGCTCTTGGGGCCACGCCTCGTCGTCGACGGCGTGTCAAAGGGGCGCCTGGGCCCAAGGGCGCGGAAGAGGTCGAACGCGTGGACGACGATGCGTCGGCGCTCCATGAGCGTCGATCTTCCGTCCCCTGCGATAAGGCTGCAAGTGACGTGCGCTTCTCTGTTGGCTCCTCATCGCGTTGTGCTGGCGTGGGTCTGGAAGGAGGTGTGCGCGTCCATGACGCGAACGCCGAAGACATCATGGGGGCGGAGACGCAGCCCGCCCCCGAGCCTCCGAAGAAGCGCCCTGCGGATAATACTGGCAAGGATGGTGGGAATGACGACGGCGGCGCTGTCACTCCTCCTGTTGTTGCCCAGGTGTCCCAGGTGCCTCCCTCGGAGCTCTCCGATTCAAAGTCGGGGGTGGGGCGAAGAGATGCCCTGTCGAAGGTCAGCGACAATCACCCAGTGATGCAGCCAGTTCTTTGTCCTCCCGATCGGCGCGTGGGAGGTTTGCCGGGGCAGGGCGGAAGTGTCCGAGATGCGCGAGCTGGTGCGGAGACCAGGGCCGCAGGTTTGTTCACTGGCGCATTCGGGCCCGCGGCTGGCGAGCAGGACACATGCGTTCCAAAACAATTAACTCAACATGGTCCCGTGGCGTCTGGGCCACCGAAGGATGAAAGGGTGGGCGTCCATGGCGTGCCCGCCAAGCTGGGGCCCGTTTCAGATGCCGTGCCGATCGACTTCAAGGGTGTGTCCACTCCGAGTGCCGCTCCAGAGTCGGCGGTCTTGCCGATCAGGCCTGCCGCGCGGCCGCCTGCCTGTGCCCCCGTCGGTGCTCGGGTCACGGGGCAGGGGTCGGGCGGCGCTGCTGCTGGAAGCACCCGGCCTCCGCTGGGGGTGAGGGCTGACGTGAACTCCGAGGCTCATCGCGTGGAGGTCGACGAGGTCCACGACAGTTTGCGCAGTCTCACTGGTGGAGGCGATGCCAGTGCTGAAAGTCGAAGGCAAGGTGACAAACCGCGCCCAGCCAGCGCAGCCCATGGCGAAACTAGCGGGGTGATGGCCGTGAGCCAAACCCATGGTGAGGCTCGCGGCGCCACTCAGGCGGTGGTGAGTAGCCCAGTTGTTCGGGACATATTTGAGGGCTGCTTCCTAGGTGAGGCTGCGCGCTGCGAGCTGGCCTAAGGGGCTTCCGCTGCTGGTTCGGTGACTGGTGCATCTGGGTCCACCCCTGAGGCCTGACAGCCCGCGGCAAAACAACGAACTGGAGACGGCCCAGACAGCCCATGGCGAGTCTGACCGCAAAGACGGCGCGTGCCGGGTACTCCGCGAAGACGTGAGGGTCCAAGTCAGCGGTAATTTGAAGACAGAAGTGCCAGGTGAGCGACGCCGTGGCCGCCTTCGTCTCCACCGAATTCCTGTCGGCTTGTGCGGTGCCGTGCGCAAGGTCGACAACGTGGTCGGGGCGTGCAGCCACGAGGAGGTCTTTGGGGCGCTCGTTGCCTGGGACCTCCCACTGGAGGGAGGTGTCGGCATGACCTTCCATCCGCTCGACGAGTGGCAACATTTCAAACGTGTCTGACTTGTTGCTGTTTCCTTCATGCTCGTTACCTGGGTGAGTGACTTGTCTGGGTTGTGGGTCGCACGAAGGAGGGCGTCTACGCCCTCCCCGTCACTGGCATCGCCTGCGGCTCCGCGTTGCTCTCCTGCTTCTTGCTGGACGGGATCTTCCTTGACTCGTCCTTCCTCCACGCTTTCTTCCACCTTGCCCTCTCCGCCGTCGTGGCGCGAGGGCGCCTCGGCGTAGTCTGTCGGGTGCGCGCCTGCGCGGCAGGCGGGGGGCGCGCGAGAGGCTATGCGCTCCTCGCCCTCGAAACGCAATCCCTTTGGGGGTAAGCTATGACCGCCCTCGGCGCTGGCGACGCCCCCCGCTCGCGACAAATTCGTGCGCGGGTGTCAGCGAAGGGGCGCGGCGCGAAGGCGAACGCCACATATTGAAGACCACCCGCCCGCGAGAGCCACCCGTGGAAAAACAACCGCCCTCTGTCCGTGAATCTTCTGTACTCTCTTAAGAACGAAAGAGCGCGGCGCTGAGGCGAGAGCCGTGCGTTGAAACCCGCCCGCCTTCTCCACCCGCGAAGTGTTCGCGGACTTCTCATACGGATGCGCGCGGCGCTGAGGCGAGAGCCACATGTTGAAAAAGGATCCGCCTTCCATTCGTGATATTGCTGATTATGGTAAAATCCAACGTGCGTGGTTCGAAGGTGAGAGCCGCACTTTCAAAGCGGTGCGCCCTCAATCCGTCGAGCTCTTGCAAGTTTTTAAGACGAGTGCGCGCGACGCTTTGGCGCGAACCTCGAGCCGCCATCGATCCGTGACGTTTAGGCATTCTTTTTCGACGGGTGGTCGCGGCGCTTAGGCGAGGACCGCATGTGGGAAAACGAACCGCCCTCCATCCGCGAAGCCCTGGCTCTTTTCCAGTTCCAGAGTCGTGAATGGTGAGGAAGTCTGAAGCGAAACGCCCGTCCCGCCCTACCGACTGGCCTCGGGGTGCGACAGGGAGGAGTGATCCATGTGGAAGAGGGGTGGAGAGGATCTGTAGGAGGAAAAGGAAACAACGAGGATGAATCTGATAATGAAGATCAGCACGATGACGACGATGATGATGATGAGGATGATGATGGTGCTGATGCTGCTGATTATGATGATGATGGTGCTGATGATGATGATGGTGGTGGTGGTGGTAGTAGTGGTGATGGTGGTGGTGATGATGATGGTGGTGATGCTTATGATGATGATGATGCTGCTGATGATGAGGATGACGAGGAAGAGGAAGAGGAAGAGGGGGTGGATGACTTTCATACCCGCAGCCACTAGCCACAATGGGGAAGAGAAGGAGGATGAAGAAAAATGATCGATGGAGGAGGAGGAGGAAGTGGAGAATGAGGCGATGGAGGATGACCAGGGCTCCAATCCCTGCACGGATAGACCACCCCGCAGCTTCAAGGGTCAGTCGATCTATGAATCCATCCATCCATCCATATCTGTAGATGTCTGTACCTATGCACTGTGTATATTGCATATATAGTATAGTGGGGTATCCAGGGCCATGATAATTATGCTACTGCTGATGGTGATCATGATGGCTATGACCATGTTGGTTGTGGTGCTGATGGTCTTGATGACGATGATGGGGATGAGGGTGGTGATAAAAAGGAGGAGGGCGAGGAGGAAGGCGACGACAGGGGGAGGAAGCGGAGACGACGGACCACGATAATGACGACGATAATGACGAGGAGGAGGAGGAGGAGGAGGAGAGGAGGAGGAAAAGGGAAAGGACGTGGAGAAAACTGCGGGCGGGGGGTGGGCAGGGGGGGAGGATCTGCATGTTGAGTACTGTGAGGAAAACCACGATGCGGAGGAGATGGAGGAGAAGGAGGAGCACAAGCTGAACTGACTGTTATATAAAGGGGAACAGGGAAGGACGGGGAGGCTGAGGAGGAGAGAGAGAGGCGGAGGTGGAACAGTGCTTGTAGGATCTAGCGTGTGCTGCGGCGGAGGAGGAGGAAGAGAAGGACAAGTAGTGGCGAGGAGAAGGACGGGATGGGGGCGAGGAAGACGAGAGAGCACCGCAACCCCGCGGCCCAGGCCGCGTCCACCTACAGGCGCCGCATGATCGTGCAGGCTTGCACGTTGGGGAGGGCCGGCTTCCGCCCTTCTCCCCCTCCTCCTGGTCCCCCTCTTCGTTCCCTCCTCGCCTTCCTCCTTCCCGTTCCTCATCCTCGCCTCCCTCTGCTCCTCATGGTGTTCCTTGGTGGCTCTGCAGTGCACGGCGCGTGCGGGAGTCCGAGAAAACGCACGCCAAGTGCACCATCGTCTGGGATTCCGAGCATCTGTGGCCCTCAGGAGCGAAGAGCCCCAGTAATCTTCTTACTTCTACCTCCTACTCCTCCGCCTCATGCTCAAGAGCCGACTCGGCTCGGACCGGCCTCGCTCGAAGCCGGCTGATGGCCCGCCGCGGCGCTGTCTGTGTGTGTGTGTGTGTGTGCCGCGTGCCGCACAGCGTGGATGCCGTTTGGCGTCGCGCTGACCCGCGCCCACGCTTGCACGACGGTCGTTGAGAGTAGGTATTTTCGGATTCCCATGCCCCAGTCTTCTTCAAGCGCCTTCCTTCTTCAAGAGTCGACATGTCCTTGCTGTCCTATGCTCTTCTGAGGGCCGGGCCCGAATCCAATGTACTTGATCCGCACTCCTACTTGATGTTTCTGCCCACCTCTTCCGACCGACGTGTACATCAGGCAGGTCCAAGGATGCGGCGAGAGGAAGAGAACGGACGCTGCGAGATGTCGGATCTGCCCTGCAGCAGCTGCTGTGCTCCTGCGTCCACGAGGGGGCTTCGTCGGCGCGGCTCTGCGCAGCATGCGTGGGCGCCCTGTGTGCCACCGTCGTTCTCTCCTGCTGCATGTCGCTGTCGGCGCCCGTGCCTGTGGCATGAGAGACGCCCTTCGCCAGTCGCTCCCCGCGCGGCGGCTGCGAGCACGACGCGTTCCAGCAGTCATCCTTCCTGAGGGGGCGGATGCTCGCTGCCAGGCGTCCCCCCTGACGGTGGCCGCTCGCGCGGCGTGGTGTGGCCGCTTGACATCTGGCAGTGGCGGGAGCGTGGCTGTTGCGTTCGAGCTGCCGTGCCGCGCGCGATTGGCCATCTCCGGTGCACGCGATCACCGGCCCCGTGGCCCCGGGGTGCCCAGATTGCATCAAGGGACCCCACCCCGCCCAGAGCGTCCCTACAGAGCCTCTCTCAGATTTTCGGGGGGCCCTGGCTGCCCTGCAAGCAGTGATCTTTTCTTGCGCCCCGTGCGGACTTGTTGTGGACTCGGCGCGGGGTCGACGCGGGCTCGGCGCGGACTCGACGTGCTTGACGTGGATCCGATGCGGACTCGAGGAGGAGGAGGAGGAGGAGGCGGAGGAGGAGGAGGGAGGGTATCACTTGCATCCCGAGGCTCCGACCGCCCGTGTCTTTTACGAGGCCCCCCTGGCGAATGCGTGCAATGCCCGCCCCTGGGCCACCCAGACATCCAGCGTCGTGTTTTTTCTCTGCGGCGTGGCTGCCCAGAGGTCTTGGTCCGCGGGGCCGTTTTTTTCATCCCGAGCTGTTCCTGTTGACGGCCCAGGGGGCCCGGTAAGGGCTCCTGGAGACCGGCGACGATCGAAACCCTCCCGTCTCGACGTTTTCACGACCCGAGGGGGTCTGGGTGCTCTGGATTTCGTAGTATAACGGGGTCTGATTCTCTGGGGTTATGATGCTCCAACCTACTTTAGCCTTGACCGCCAGAAAGAATTTCGAGCACCACGAAAGTATCAAAACTTGGGGGTTTTCACGTGTCGGGCCCTGGGAGGCGATACTCGTTCGACACTGTTTCGACACTTTTCCGGGCGCTCGAAATTATTTCTGGGATGTGGTCCTTAAGTACGACTGGAGCAATATCATTCTGGGGGTCAGACTTGAGCTGTCTTGTAGGGTTCTGTGGGATCTGGGCAGAGCGTCGTTCTTTTTTGGCTTGTCTGAGGGGGGGGCTAAAGTTGTCCGCCCCTAAAGGGTGGTGACGCCTCCCTTCTGTGGTAAACCTCAGAGTGTTTGCCTCCGCCGACCCGAAGGTGCAACAGAAAGTTTCAGGAGGGAAAGAAACACACAGACACAATTAATCGTCGACTCCCAGGAAAATATGCAAAAATATGGGAAGTGGGGGGGAAGACCAAAACCCCAAAAATATGGGAAGATATGGGGATTTGTTTTATTTGTGTGTATTTATTTGCGTGTCCCGGGGCCCCTTTAGTTCAAGATCCCCCCCCCGTCGGGCTCGGACGCTTTTGCCTGGAGGCTGGGCTCAGGGAGTGGTCCCAGGGGCAGTGACCGACACGATCGAAGGGCAGAGCCTCGCCATCGAGTACTCAGGAGGGGGAAAACACACACACACAGACACAATTAATCGTCGATTCCCAGGAAAATATGGAAAAATATGGGAAGTGGGGACGAAGACAGAAACCCAGAAAATATAGGAAAATACAGGGATTCCTGTTATTTGTGTGTATTTATTTGTGTGTTTGTGGGCCCCTTCAAGTACGCACGCACAGCCCGCTGGATTGAAAAGAGGAGGCCGCGGGGATCGAGAGAGACACGGTTGGCCTCCCGCCAGGCCGCGGGGCCCCGGGGCAGTGTTGCAGTTCGGGCCGATCTGCAGTTTCGGATGTCTCTCTCTCTCTCTCTCTCTCCCCTTCTGATCGTACAAAGGCCAAGTGGGGTCAGTGTCTGAAAATGCGATCCCGCCCGAGACTTTCTCAACAAAACTTTCAGATCGCCTTCCAGGGCGATCTGAAAATTTGCCATGGCATCTGAACATGGCGATTTTGCGTGGGACTTCCTCATAATAAAAGTCATATCGATCTGTATGCCGCTTGAGAGCGGTGATGTCGCCTGAGAATTCCTCAAGGGGTATTTTCCGGCCGCTTTGCACGCCGCCAGAATGTGGCGATCTCGCTTGAGCTGTCCTAACAACCACGCGTCTCGTCCACCCCTTCGGCGCCGTTCCTCCGTTCGGGTCACGAGCCTGTCTGGGAGTCATCTTGGGATCGATCGAAGGTCGAAGCTCGAGGTTTTATCGATTTGCGAAGACCTAGGGATTGTTCCCTCGCGTAGTGCCGATTGTCACTTTTGAATCCAGGGGGTGGTAGAAGAAGCTTTCCCGTCGTATTGCGCACCGAATGCGTATCATTTGAGGGCCTGCCCTGCGCTGGCTATTTTCTGCAATGCCTTGCTTGCTTGCCTCCTCTTCGGCAGGGTAGGGTAGTGTGTGTGTGTGTGTGTGTTTGCAACCGTTTCGGTGGCTCTATTTCCATCGACGCACGTTCAGTGATAACCACTCTTTAGCGCGTCCTGCTATTCCCCTCGCTGAGTTCAACCAACCGGCCTGGGTGCATCAAAGCGTATGTGCGCGTGTGATTCTTGCTCCGCCTCGTCGCTGCGCGCAAGGCCGCGACCGCCAAAGTGTGTGCGTGTGCCGTGGCCCCCGCAGGCGTCCTTCCTCGGCCTGCACCAGGACATCGACTGGGACTCCAGGCGCGCCCGGCTGCTCCTCCCCGCGCCGGCGCGTGGGAACCGGGTGTGCTCGGCTTCCAGGCGGAATTGCTCTCCTATTGGGGGGTGGGCAGAACCCCTGCCCTGACACGTCGATCAGTGAGTTGTCCGTTTTCGGTTTTCGAGAGGGCGCCGCGGCCGTCATTTTCCAAGCTTGCGCCCACCAGGTTTGGGCCCGAGGTCGTGTTGACTAAACCACGTTTTGCTAAGGGGGGTTCTGTCCATCCCCGATCCTATCCCCTCCAGAAGTTCTGCGGCAGCCATGACGGGGTGATGCCTGAGGGGGGTGGATCTCATGGCCGGGGCCATGGCCCCCCTTTCTCTTCTTGTTTCAGCACGTTCCTTGGCCCGGCCCCTTCTGTCGTCTGCGCAGCTGCCTCGGGGCAAAGTCCCCTCTTCTTGGACGCGCCCCTCTCGGACGCCATCGACTCCAGAAGTCGCCACGAAGGAGGCGGGCGTTGAGGAGGCTTGGGTTCTGAACCGGGGCTTTCCCCACGACCAGTCCCCCACGCGAGCCGTCTCGTGGTCTCGTGACAGGCACGGGGCCCGTGGAGTGCCCCCCAGGGTCCCGAGAACGCAGGAGAATGGCAGCAGCCGTTTTTTTTGGAGAAGGCCCGTCTCCTTGAAGGGTGCAGCGGCAGGGCCCACTTGAGGCGGCGCGCACGTCTGGAGTCGTGGAGGGTGCGAGCATGTACTGAGTGAAAGTAGGTGTCAGGTGAGGCCGCGCGAGGTGGCAGGGAGGGAGGGCATTCGAGTGAAGTGGAGAGGAGAGGGCGTCGGAGGGATGATGAAGTGGGATGACTATGATGATGACGACGAGGGCGACGAGGACAACGACTACGACGACTATGATTATGATTGGAGGGATTCTGGCTTTCGGACCGTTCCTAAGATCCAGGTCGGAGTACCTATTCGTTGCCAAGGCTCGCCGTGGCCAGAACAGCCTTTTCAGTTCCCCGGCGCTTCTTATTCTAGCTCGATGGTTGTATTGTATGATGCCGAATATGGCGCCAATACTGATGGTGATGACGATGACGATGCCGATGCCAAGGATCATGGTCATGATGACGATGATGATGATGATGATGATGATGATGATGATGATGATGATGATGATGATGATGATGATGACGATGATGATGATGAGGATGATGATGATGATGATGATGATGATGACGATGATGATGACGATGATGATGATGATGATGATGATGATGATGATGATGATGACGATGGTGATGATGATGATGATGATGATGATGATGATGATGATGATGATGATGGTTATGCTGCTGATGATGATAGCGACGGTGATAGGGATTGTGATGCTGCTGCTGATGATGTTGATGATGATATTACGGATGATGCTCATGATAATGGTGTTGCTGTTGATGTACATGCTGTTGCTGTTGCTGTGCTGTTGCTGTTGCTGTTGCTGCCGTCGTCGTCGTCGTGGTTGTTGTTGTTGTTGTTGTCGTTGTCGTTGTTGTTGCTGTTGTTGTTGTTGTTGTCGTTGTCGTTGTTGTTGCTGTTGTTGTTGTTGTTGTTGTTGTTGTTGTTGTTGTTGTTGTTGTTGTTGTTGTCGTTGTCGTTGTTGTTGTCGTTGTTGTTGTTGTTGTTGTTGTTGTTGTTGTGCCTCCTGCTGCTGCTGCTGCTGCTGTTGTTGTTGTGTTGTTGTTGTTGTTGTTGTTGTTGTTGTTGTTGTTGTTGTTGTCGTCATCGTCGTCGTCGTCGTTGTTGTTGAACCCTTAATCATCATACCTACCGGTGTGATCTCGCACTGCTTTATTTCGACCGACCGTGTGCCCATAATGCGGTCGTGCTGGTGGTTGTGCTGGCGGCCGTGCTGGTGGTCGTGGTTGGTGGACGTGCTGGTGGTCGTGCTGGTGGTCGTGCTGCTGGCCGTTCTGGTGGAGGTGCTCGCAGTCGTGCTGGTGGTCGTGCTGGTACTTGTGCTGGTGGTCGTGCTGGGAGGTGCTGGTGGTCGAGCTGGTGGTCGTGCTGCTGGCTGGTCGTGCTGGTGGTCGTGCTGGTGGTCGTGCTGGTGGTCGTGCTGGGCTGGTGGTCGTGCTGGTGGTCGTGCTGGCGGTTGTGCTGGTGGTCGTGCTGGTGGCTGGTCGCGTTGGTGGTTGTGCTGGTGATCGTGCTGGCGGTCGTGTTGGTGGCCGTTCTGGTGGAGGTGCTGGTGATCGTGCTGGTGGTCGTGCTGGTGGTCGTGGTGGTGGTTGTGCTGGTGGTCGTGCTGGTGGCTGGCCGTGCTGGAGGTGCTGGTGGTCGTGTTGGTGGTCGTGCTTGGTCGTGCTGGTGGCTGGCCGTGCTGGAGGTGCTGGTGGCTGGTCGTGCTGGTGGTCGTGCTGGTGGTCGTGCTGGTGGTCGTGCTGGTGCTTGTGCTGGTGGTCGTGCTGGCGGTCGTGTTGGTGGCCGTTCTGGTGGAGGTGCTGGTGGTCGTGCTGGTGGTCGTGCTGGTGGTCGTGCTGGTGGTTGTGCTGGTGGTCGTGCTGGTGGCTGGGCGTGCCGGTGCTTGTGCTGGTGGTCGTGCTGGCGGTCGTGTTGGTGGCCGTTCTGGTGGAGGTGCTGGTGGTCGTGCTGGTGGTCGTGCTGGTGGTTCTGCTGGTGGTCGTGCTGGTGACGTGCTGGTGGTCGTGCTGGTGGTCGTGCTGCTGGCCGTTCTGGTGGAGGTGCTCGCAGTCGTGCTGGTGGTCGTGCTGGTACTTGTGCTGGTGGTCGTGCTGGGAGGTGCTGGTGGTCGAGCTGGTGGTCGTGCTGCTGGCTGGTCGTGCTGGTGGTCGTGCTGGTGGTCGTGCTGGTGGTCGTGCTGGGCTGGTGGTCGTGCTGGTGGTCGTGCTGGCGGTTGTGCTGGTGGTCGTGCTGGTGGCTGGTCGCGTTGGTGGTTGTGCTGGTGATCGTGCTGGCGGTCGTGTTGGTGGCCGTTCTGGTGGAGGTGCTGGTGATCGTGCTGGTGGTCGTGCTGGTGGTCGTGCTGGTGGTTGTGCTGGTGGTCGTGCTGGTGGCTGGCCGTGCTGGAGGTGCTGGTGGTCGTGTTGGTGGTCGTGCTTGGTCGTGCTGGTGGCTGGCCGTGCTGGAGGTGCTGGTGGCTGGTCGTGCTGGTGGTCGTGCTGGTGGTCGTGCTGGTGGTCGTGCTGGTGCTTGTGCTGGTGGTCGTGCTGGCGGTCGTGTTGGTGGCCGTTCTGGTGGAGGTGCTGGTGGTCGTGCTGGTGATCGTGCTGGTGGTCGTGCTGGTGGTTGTGCTGGTGGTCGTGCTGGTGGCTGGGCGTGCCGGTGCTTGTGCTGGTGGTCGTGCTGGCGGTCGTGTTGGTGGCCGTTCTGGTGGAGGTGCTGGTGGTCGTGCTGGTGGTCGTGCTGGTGGTTCTGCTGGTGGTCGTGCTGGTGGCTGGCCGTGCTGGAGGTGCTGGTGGTCGTGTTGGTGGTCGTGCTGGTGGTCGTGCTCGCGGTCGTGTTGCTGGCCGTTCTGGTGGAGGTGCTGGTGGTCGTGCTGGTGGTCGTGCTGGCCCCTCCCCCTCCCCCCCTGCGCCCCCCTCCCCTTATTCCGACCGACCGTGGGCCACCCCCCCCGCTTCTCCCCTGCGCCCCCTTCCCATTATTCCGACCGACCGTGGGCCACCCCCCCCGCTCCCTCCCTGCGCCCCCCTCCCCTTATTCCGACCGACCGTGGGCCACCCCCTCCGCTCCCCCCTTGCGCCCCCCTCCGCTTATTCCGACCGACCGTGGGCCCCCCCCCGCTCCCCCCTTGCGCCCCCGTCCCCTTCTTCCGGCCGACCGTGGGCCACTCCCCCCGCTCCTCTTCTGCGCCCCTCTCCCCTTATTCTGACCGACCGTGGCCCCCCCACCGCTCCCCCCCTGCGCCCCCGCCACCCCCCCCGCTCCTCCCCTCTCCCTTATTCCGACCGACCGTGGGCCCCCCCCCCGCTCCTCCCCTGCGCCCCCCTCCCCTTATTCCGACCGACCGTGGGCCCTCCCCCGCTCCTCCCTTGCGCCCCCGTCCCCTTATTCCGACCGACCGTGGGCCACCCCCCCCGCTCCTCCCTTGCGCCCCCCTTCTTTATTCCGACCGACCGTGGGCCACCCCCCCCCGTTCCCCCCTTGCGCCCCCCTCCCTTTATTCGACGACCGTGGGCCCTCCCCCCCGCTCCTCCCCTGCGCCCCCCCCCCTTATTCCGACCCATGGGCCCACCCCCCGCTCCCCCCCTGCGCCCCCTTCCCCTTATTCCGACCGACCGTGGGACAGGAGAAAGTGGAGGTGAGGAGGGGGAGAAGGAGGAGGAGACAGAGGACAAGCGACCTTCCTCCATACCCAAACTGACATGCTTCTAGCCGCCCCTTCCCGTCTTCGAATCTGTCCCTTGCCAACGTGTCGCGGCAATTGCGGCACGCTTCCCGGCGCCTGCCAAGGACTGCCTCCCTCGCGATCCCTGGTTTTCTCCATCTCCCATGGACCCACATCGTCATTGTATGATCCTTGGCACGCGTGCCCCTTGTTACTAAACAGTTTTATTGTTGGACACCCTGAATGCGCTTTCGCGCTCTCGCCTAGGCGCCGGCTGCATTTCCTTTGAAATTGGGCTCACGCTTAGGCGTTTCGGGGGTGCGCCATAACCGGCCCCCCCTCAACAACAACAACAACGCTCCGGCTCATGCTTCCTCCTTTCTCACTCGGGACCGGGGCTCTTGCTCGCTCCCCAAAGCAGCCTTTCCAACAGAATCGGCGCTCCCGCTCGATACGTCCCTGCTTTTTGTTATCTCAGGACCAGCGCTCCCGCCTCAGGACAAACAACGACGCTCCCGCTCGATACTTCCTTCGCTTTTCCACAAGACTCCCAGGAGGCCTTGAGGCTTCCCTAGGCCAGTTGAAAATTAGTAAGCAATCATTATTGTTGGACACCCTGAATGCGCTTTCGCGCTCTCAAGCTTGCTCCGCTCGACCTCGCTCTCGCTCGTGTCCTGTGGTGTGGCGTTGTCACCGTCGCCGCCGCCGCCGGAGCCGCCGTAGCCGCCGCCGCCGTAGCCGCCGCCGTCATCGTCGTCGTCGTCGTCGTTGTCGTCGTCGTCTTCGTCGTCGTCGTCGTCGTGCTCTGGAGACCGTCGGGGGCCTCATGGAACTCCTGGAGACACCTAGGGCCAGGGACATCTTTTGGAGGAGGAACACAGTGAAGAGGATGAGGAGGAGGATGAGGACGACGACGACGAGCCCCGGGGCCGTCAGAAAGTGGCCGGCGCAAAAGCGGTCCCCGGGAAGGGGTCGAAAGCCTAGGGGCCTAAACTCTGAAGCTTCTCTCAGAGGCTCTGGGGGCTCGCCACGGGTTTCTCCCAGAGGTTGTACGGGCTTTCTAGAGGTCTTGAGCCATTCAGGCGTCGTGACACCTAGAAGCAAGGCCTGGGCACGGGGATTGTGAAGGAGATGTGCCATCTGGGCTGGAGATGCTGAAGTGCCTCGGAAGAGGTGTTGTCAAGACCTCATCGGGCGGAATATCAGGGAGAGGGAATATCGGACCCCCGTGTGCAAGAAATCCCCCATAATGTGGGAGCTATCATGATGGATGCATGTTGCATTCAGAAGCATCGAACATTCGGGTACATTGGTTGTTGTTGTTGTTGTTGTTGTTGTTGTTAATGTTATTGTTGTTGTTGATGATGATGGTGATGATGATGTATTTGCTGTTATGACTGTTGCTGTTATTGTCGTTGTTGTTATAGTTGTTGTTGATCCTGTTGTTGTTGTTGCTGTTGTTCTTGTTGTTGTTGTTGTTGTTGTTTTTTCGCTGTTGTGGTTGTGGTTGAGGTTGTGGTTGTGGATATTGTTGTTGCTGCTGTGGTGGTTGTTGTTTTTTTTTGTTGTTGATGCTGTTGTTGTTGTCGTTGATGTTGTTGTAGTTGTTCGTTGATGTTGTCGTCGTCGTCGTTGTCGTTGTCGTTGTTGTTGTCGTTGCTGTTGTTTCTTTTGGTGGTGGTGTTGTTTGTATTTGTGGTGGTTGTTGTAGTTGTGGTTGTTGTGTTTGGCGTCGGTGATAGTGGTGGTGGTGATGATGACGACATGACGATGATGACGATGCTGACAATGATACTGATAATGTTGTTGACGATGATGATTCCGGTGATGATGATGATGATGATGATGATGATGATGATGATGGTGGTGGTGGTGGTGGTGATGATGATGATGATGATGATGCAGGTGACGATGCTGGTGCTGATACTGATGATGATGATGATGATGATGATGATGATGATGATGATGATGATGATGATGATGATGATGATGATGATGATGATGCCACGGCAAACGCGACATCAATGGGGGAGGATGGAGCATGGGGCTGTGAAGGGAGAGAGAAAGCGCATCAGAGGTGGGGGGTGCGCCGCCTCACGCGCAGTCGCGTGAGCTGCATCACCGCGGGCGAGCTGGAGAGGCTTCCCGCGCCGCCCGCCCCCGGCAAGACTTGGGTCCTGTTTTGTGTTGCTGCCTCTCGCTGGGCGGGAACGGCACTTGCGGGGGTGGGCAGGGGCAGGACTAGGCGGACGGGGCAGGAGGACGGGGAGGGAGGAGGACTGGGGGGAGAAGGAAGAGGAGGAGGGGACAGGAGAAGGAAGAGGGTGAGGAGGAGGGGGAGGGGGAGGGGGAGGAGGATGAGGAAGAAGAGGAGGAAGAGGAGGAAGAGGAGGACGAGGACGAGGACGAGGACGGGGACGAGGAGGAGGATGAGGAGGAGGAGGAGGCGGATGATGATGATGATGATGATGATGATGATGATGAATGATGATGATGATGGATGATGATGATGATGATGATGATGATGATGATGATGATGATGATGATGATGATGATGATGATGATGATGATGATGATGATGATGATGATGATGATGATGATGATGATGATGATGATGATGATGATGATGATGATGATGATGATGATGATGACGATGATGATGACGATGATGATGACGATGATGATGATGATGATGATGATGATGATGATGATGATGATGAGGATGAGGAGAGGAGGAGGAGGAGGAGGAGGAAGAGGAGGAGGAGGAGGAGGAGGAGGAGGAGGAGGAGGAGGAAGAGGGGAGGGGGAGGGGGAGGAATGATACTAATAGTTCTAATGATATTAATCAAAATACGACGAATATTCATTAGACGAATGAAACTGACAATGATAATAGAAAAAGCGTGTTCTACCGCTGCTGGTGCTGGCGGAAAACCGGGGGGGTCACTGGGGGTTCCTAACCCGTCCCACCCCCCATCGAACACAGGGGGGGGGTCACTTCCGGTTCGACCCCCCCCCCTCGAAAACAGGGGGGGTCACTACCAGTTCGAACCCATCCCCCCCGCGCCCCCCTCGCCGCCGGCAAACGATGCCGCTCCTCGGGAAAGTTGGAGAATGGTGGGGATGTTGGGACAGTGGTGGGAACTGTGGTGGTGGGGACAGTGGTGCGGGGACAGTGGGACAGTGGTGCGGACAGTGGTGGGGACGGTGGTGGTGGGGACAGTGGTGAGGGGACAGCGGGACAGTGGTGGGGACAGTGGGACAGTGGTGGGGACGGTAGTGGTGGGGACAGTGGTGAAGGCGGTGGTGAGGACAGTGGTGGGACAGTAGTACAGTGTGGAAAGTGGTGGGGACAGGGGGGACAGGGGGGACAGGGGGGACAGTGGGACAGTGATGGGCACAGTGGGGACGGTGGGACAGCACAGTTGGACAGCGGCGGGGACAGTGGGACAGAGGTGGGAACAGTGGGGACAGTGGAACGGTGGTGGGGACCGTGGGGAAAGTGGGGAGAGTGGGAGCGTGGTGGGACGATGGCAGCGAGAGTGGGGACAGTGAGACACTGGTGGGAGCACTGGTGGGGACAGCGGGGACAATGGTGGGAACAGTGGGGACAGTGGGACAGTGGTGGGGACAGTGGTGGGGACAGTGGTGGTGGGGACAGTGGTGTGGGGACAGTGGGAATGTGGTGGAAACAGTGGGACAGTAGAGGGTACAGTGGTGGTGGCGACAGTGGTGAGGGCGGTGGCGAGGACGGCGGTGGGGTAATGGGACAGATGTACAGTATTGACAGTGGTGGGGACAGTGCGGACAGTGGTGGGAACAGTGGGACCGCTCAGTGGGACAGCGGCGGGGACAGTGGGACAGTGGGGACAGTGGGACAGTGGTTTGGGCCGTGGAGAAAGTGGGGAGAGTGGAGCGGTGGTGGGAACAGTAGTGGGGACAGTGGGGACAGTGCGACTGTGGTGGGGCACTGGTGAGGACAGTGGTGACGGTGGTGGGAACAGTGGGGACAGTGGTGGTGAGGACAATGGTGCTGGGGACAGCAGTGGGGGATGTGGTGCGGACGGTGGTAGGGACCCAGAGTTGTTTGCTGGCGGTGAGCGTGGGGGGGGGGAGGGGTTCGAGCTGGTAGTGACCCCCCCCGGTTTTCGAGGGGGGGGTTCGAACCGGGACCCCCCCCGGTTTTCGAGCGCGGGGGGGGCTCGAACCGGTAGTGACCTCCCCCGGTTTTCCGGAGGGGAGGGGGTTTCGAATCGGTAGTGACCCCGTTCTGGTCTTCTGGGAGGGGGGGATGGGTTCGAACAGGTAGTGACCCCCTTCGGTTTTCGTGGGGCGGGCGGGGTCGAACCGGTATAGTGACCCCCCCTGGTTTTCCGGAAGGGGGAGGGGGGGGGGTAGGGGAGGGAGGGGGGTTTGCCCGGGGGAAGGGGGGGGGGTCCAGCAGGGGGGGGGATTTTCTGCGGGGGAGGGGGACCCCCGGGTTCCGGAGAAAGAGGGGGGGAATCTTCCACAGTAAAGCGGCGGTGGATCACGCTCTCTCTGATAACAATAATAATAACGCGGGTATTTAATCGGTAATGCTTATACCAATGGTGGTACCAATGAGAATAATGATAAAACTAGAATAATAATACCATCAAGAATAACACTGATACTACGAAGAAGTTGAATTCATGCAACTAGCATTGATAGTAGCAATACAAGTATTATGGTTGACATTGTAAATAATAGTATTACTCATACAGCTGATACATCAACTAATAATGCGAATGGCCATAAATGTACTACGACTATTACTACTACTATCTTCTTTATTAATTCTTTAGTAATAGCAGTAATACTAGTCATACTAGTATTATGAATAGTCACACCAGAAAAAAAACGTACTAAGAGGAGTAATAAGCATACGCGTACGGATAATAATAAACATACTCATGCGAAGAAAATGAACGTAATAGTGTTGATACTACTAATACAGACAATACTAATATCTACTATTAATACGTATAACATACACATAAGACGATCAATAACACATGCGAAGAATTGGCTCCAGGCGCAAAGGGGGCCTGGTGGTGTTTGGCCTCTTCGTTTTTCGGCTCCCTGAGGGTTTCATGCTTCTCCCTCTCTCTCTCTCCCTCTCCCCCTCTCTCTCTCTCTCTCTCCTCCTCTCTGTCGAGGACGATCTAATTGGTTCCTTCTCTCTTAGGTGCCTGCAGAATGATTCCCTTGTTGGGCCTTTTCCTGTGGCGGAAGTTCAAATTGATTACCTTTGTGCGAGGGAGAATGAATTGAGTCCTTCTGTGGCGGAGGAGGGGGGGGGGTCTGGCCGCCCTGGGGGAAGGCTCCAGGAACAAGACAAAAAAAACAGATCCCCTGACTCCGACGGCCTTCCGCCCCCCCTCTCCCCCAGGGCTGCCAAAACAAAAAGCGGGACCAGGGGATCCAGAGTTTTTTTTTTTTTTTTTTTTTTTTGTTGTTTATATACATATATATATATATATATATATTTATAGTATTTCGAGCCTTTCTCCCAGGGCCCAGCCCCCTGATGAAGCTGGCAGCGCCAGGGGCCGTCGGTCGCAGATTCCGTCGGCAGCACCTCCTCCCTCCTCCTCCTCCTCCTCCGCGTCCCCCTCCCCCTGCAATTCTCTGTTCTCTCTTCTCCCTCTTGCAGCCCCTCCTGCCCTGCGGGCCCAGCCATGCCCCGTCCTGCGGGCCCAGCATTCACCTCGGCAGCGATCGCGCCTGGCCCCGCAATGCAGTGCCACGTCTGCGGGCGCATCACTTACCTCGGCTCTACGGGTCACCGAACAGGGGTTACTTGCGTAGGCCAGTGCGCGCGCGAGCGGGCGCATGCAATGCGTGCGTCGCGTTAGTTCCTCTTTCCCCCCATCCCCCTTCCCCCAGAAGGCTCAGCAGCTCCAGGCGTTCCACTTTGCCCTGGGTGCATGCTAAAAAACATGCGCCAGGCGGGGGACCACTGGCCGCTTAACCCAGGACTTGGGATAGACAACGAAGTCGGATGTGGAAGTGGCGTCGGCCACGCCGTGCGTTTCCATTGCCGCGCGTTGTATATGCACATGCTTTGAACGCGTATCTCCAGGAAGCTACGTCACGCTGCTGCAGATCCTGGACATCATGGGCGCAGAGGACGGGCTGGGCGTGCGCGGGATCCTTGTCGACGAGGTCGATATCGAATGGTACCCCAGCCAGGGTTGTGACTTCGAGTTTGAGCAGCGCGTGGACGTCGAATATGAGGAAATGCAGGGGTACGGACGACGACGATGAGATCGAAGACGTGGGCGATGACGCGTCGGGCTCCACCTCCTCCGCGGAAGGAGCATGGATTTGCATCTTTCCGAATGCCTTGGCATCGCTGATTCGGGCGAGGTCCTCGGTGAGGATGTCGACGTCTCCGTTAGCGATGGCCCAGCCCTGGGTCCGCGCGCCATGGGGCGCGGAGATGCATCGTTCGGCGCCAGGACCGCTCAGGCACGCATCGCCATGCCCCCCCCCTCCCCCCCTAACATGTTATAACCTTATACATTGCCGCCAGACCAAAAAAGAAACAGCAACGGTGGCACATCTTCACTGCCCCCGTCTTTGATGCCCCGCGGGTTGGCCCATTTTCCCGCAATTTTTTCGGGTCAAAAGCAGCGCCATGCCGCCCCGAACGCATCGGCGCTAGGACGTCGCCGCGCCCCGCCGCCTTCCGCTGGGCCCAGCGGCGCCATGGCGCAGCATGCCGACGTCGACGAGTGCTGCGAGAGGCTCCGCGAGGCAGACATCAATTCCCGCGAGGACTTCCTGCGCCTGGTGGAGCGCGCGAGGGTCGCTGACGCTGGGGCGCGCGCGCATGTGCTCCCCTTGCTCGCCCTCGTTTTCGCGCAGATGATGGGCTACGTCTCTGACACTTGCACTTGCCCGTGCTGCGGCGGGAACGACTGCAACATCGCGTGCCGCGAGCGCAAGGGCGCGTGGGCGTGGCGGCGCCGTGATTGGAGTAGCGCGCGTGATTCGTGCAAGCTTGAGGGCCGCGAGTCTGTGGCGAAAGGCGCCGTCTTCGAGGGCGCGCAGTGCAAATCGTGGATCGCTTTCTTTGATGTAATGACAATGTGGCTGTTCGATTACCCCGAGCTGATCATCGGGGGAGAGTCTGGGCGCCACCACTGCGTGATCGACAGGTGGGTTTCTGCATGTCAGAACAAGGTTGCATCTGCGCTCCGCGCGGCCATGGCGTCGAACGGGTTCTGGCCGAAAACGAGCAAGGAGCCAAAGCGGAGGAGGCGCGAGCGGTCACTTCAGGAAGGGCGCTCAATCAAAATCCCGCGACAGGGTCAGGGCGGTGGCCAAAGCGGCCGCCGTTCGGAGGGGCGCCGGTGTCGGCCCTGCCAAGAAGAGCGAGATCAAGAACTACGAGATCGCCTTCTTGGATGAAGCGCGCTTGAACAAGTGGAAGCCTGGTCGACTTGCGCGGGCGGCGCGCCCTCAAAAAGATCAGGTGCGGGTGTAGGGTGCGGCTGTCCAGGGCCGCCCTGATGCAAGGTTCTTCCGCATCTTCGATCGCCCTCTGGACTCCTTCAACGGCGTGCCGCGGGGGCGCGATGAGATGCTGACGAACGTGCGCCTTCTCGGCCTCGAGGAGGGCGCGGCGTTGGCCAGCGACTCCTGGCGCGCCGCGATCTCGGCCGTGAAGGGGTTCAAGATGCTCGAGCGCTGGGCGGTGAAGGACCTGCGCCGCGAGCTCGTCGTGCATTCTGCAGGCGGGAGTGTAAACCCGAACGGGTTCAATGCCAATGGCATCGAGGCCGCGTGGTCCGCGGTCGAACGCTGGGTCCGCCGCCGCTGCGGCGGGGGAATGCCGAGCCAGTCGGACCGCGAGCAGTGGCGCGTGCTTCTGGCGGAGTTGCAATGGCGCAGGATGAATGCGCAGGAGACGTTGGATGGGGGAAGCACGTACTTCGTGCCGTTTGCTGCTTTTGCCGACGCCCGTAAACCGCTCGAGTGATTCATGTGCGAGCAATGCAGATTATAAACTTTTGATGCGCTCAGACGCATGCGGTGCGCGTTCGCTGATCTGCCAAGGCCAAGCCGTGCTCTCGGCTAGGCGAGAAGGGCCTTGGCGCAGTCTCGATGCAGGGGCAACGCGCGCGCGCTCGCGCGCGCCGCGCGGCAGATTTCCGATGATAGAGAGGCCGCGGTCGCAGCCGTCGAGGCGCGGCGTCGCGAGCCGAGGCGCTCGGGTTCCCACTGGGCCTGGCTCGACGGCGTGGGTGCCGCGGCCTGTGCCGCGCTCTGCGATGTTGGCGGGCCGACGGTCGGCGTTGTCGCGGCTGGGATCGGTTGGGTCGACGACGTCGAGCGCCCGTTTCGGGGGGGGCGCCGTTCGTTGGCGCGCTGCCCGCTCCCGGCATCGCCGGTCGTAGAGGGGCGCGCAGGGGGCGCGGGCCCGTCGGCGAGTTGTCGGGTCGCGCGGAAGCGCGGGATGCAGCGAGTATTTTTGGCCGCCGCGACGACGACCGCGCTACCGAAAGGCGTTCCAGGGCGGTGGCAGACGACGAACATTGGCGGATGGCGGGTCCGGCGCCAGTCGCTGGTTTGGCATTGCGCGATGCGATATCGGCGCCTCGTTTCTCGGCGGGCCAGCCCGCGCGCCGCGGCGCGGGCGCGTGGCGTCGATGACTATTCTCGCGCGAGCGTTAACAGCGCAACCAGCGTCGCGGAGACGAAGTTGCGCCGCGGCGCGATCGATCAGTTGTGCGCCTTGGCGCGCGCTTTTCGTGGGGGGGCGCCGCGCGCGCGACTCCGCTCGCCGCGTGGTCATCTTTCCGCCTGCCTGCGCAGGTATCTGTTCAGATCAAATTTTTGAAATTGAACGGGGTCTCGGCTTTCTGGCGGGTGCCGATTCAGCGCGGGCGTCGCGCGTTCGCCTGGGTGTCGTGCCGCCTGAATAGTCGAGTCATGGCCGCTCGGCGCATCGCGCTGCCCTCGGGTGGCGCGGCCTGCGTGCGTTCCTGGCAGCTGCGGCGCGTCAATTGTTGTGGATGCCAGTGCTGTGCTGTGTCGACGACTACTTCTGGGTCGGAAAAATGGGTCTGGTGGAGCGCGCGGGTCAGTGCTTCGCGAGGCCGTTCGCGAGGCTGCCGCGCGCCCTCTTCCTCGGGCTCGGCGCCGTGCAGGGCCGCGAGGTGGCGCGGGGCCCGTCGATCGTGGCCTTGGAGCTGCTGGTCGGGGCGTCGGAGGCAGGCTTCCACGATGGGCCAGGCGACTATGAAGCGAGGCAGAGAGCCGCCGCCATCAATGGCACCGTGCCGTCGGGCGCGCTCGCGGCCGGGGGGGCGTCGGAGACGGCGGGTCGCTCGTCGTGGGCGCGCTGCCTCGCCCGATCTCGCGGGGCGGCTCGATGGCGCGACCGCTTTTCGACCTAGCCCCGCGGGGAGGGCGAGCCGCGCGCTGCTGTGGTGGATGGGCTTGCTGGCGCAAGACGCATCGCCGCGGCCTTTGCGCGGCCCCCCCCGGGTTCTATTTCGCAATCAGGGCAGCCGCGAAAAAGCGCGCGGGACATCGCCGGGGCAGAATATTTCTCGGTGGATCTGCAGATGTCGCCCACGGGGGATTGGGGGGGGTCGGTGGGCGGCGCGGGGTGCGTGGCGGGGCGGTGGCGGCGGAGGCTTCGCGGGGGGGCGGGGGGGGGTCTAAATCAGCGCCGCAGACAGCGCGGGTCGCGCGCCTGCAGTGGCCCCCCCCACGCCCTTGAACAGCAAACTATTGCCCGCGGCGTGCTCCCAGGTGGGCGGGGGCGCGCAGCTGCGCGCTCGGCGGCCTGGGGGGGGTCGGCGGATTTCATTTTTTATTTAGTGCGCGAGCTCGTCGGCCGCAGGCGAGGGCAGCAGGCCACCGTCAAAACGCGCGCTAATATGCCCTCCCTCCCCATCCCCGCCCTCCTCTTCGGGCGGCTTTCCCTGCCTGGCCTCGCTGTCCCTCCTCTCCAGTTTGTGCCCCCCAATCCCGTGCGTCTTCCCGCCGCTTCCCCCGCCCCTCCATCCCGCCGCTCCTGTCCGCCCGCCGTCTTCCTTCGGCTTGCTTCCGATTCCACCGCCTCGCTTCTGTCCTGCGCGTCGTCCTCGGTCGCGCTTGTTTTTCCTGGGCGCATCTCCTCCCCCCCAGCGCGCGCCCCTGCGCCCCGCCCGCCCCCGTCCCGTTCCTGCTTCGCTGCGCCCGAAAAGGCCCATGCTGGCAAGGGCGGCGTCGGTTGCGCCTGCCTCGCCTACGTCGGCCGCGCTCGGGCGGGGCGCTGGCGAGTGGAGGCCGCGCGCAATGCCGCGCCCGACCGCTCGGACAGCTCGCGCAGCCTTCATCGGCGCAGATGCAGCGAGCAGCAGCGGCCGTCCATCGCGCGCCCGAGCGCCGCAGACCGCGCCCGCGACGCGTGGGCGGCGCCCGGCGCTGGTCGCGTCATTCTATTGGGTCGCGCTGCGACCGGCGCCGAGGGCGCCCAGGGCGCCCGCGCCCTCTCGGCGCGGCGCCCGCGCCGCGTGGCGCCGCGCAGGCTTCGCTCGGCGCGCTGTCGCCAGCGCAACCGAGCTGCGGGCGAACGGGGCGCTCAGAAAATTTGCGCGCATGGTGCAAACAGCTCGCTCTCTGTTCCGTCCCGCGCATTCGCTGGCCCCGGGGGCGCGCGGCGGACGCGCGCGCGAGCGGTTGCCGCGCCGCTTCATTGCGCGCGCGCGTCGCGGCGCGCCGCGGGCGGAGCGCGCGGGTGCGCGCCTTCCCGCGCGCGGCCTGTGCCCGCCGCGGCGCTGCGCAGGCGCCTGCTTCATTTCGCGGTTCGTAGGTCGTGCGCCTTGCGCTCGGGATTTGAGCCGCTCCACCTCGCCCCGATTCTTGCCCGCTGCTGGGTGGCGCTGCGACTGGCGCCCGGGCCGCCCAAAGCGCCCGCGGCGCGCGGCGCGCCGCAGGCTTCGGCGCGCGCCCAGCGCTGCGCCTGCCAGTGCAACCCAGCTACGCGTGAGCGGGGTGCTCGGATAATTTGTGAATGTTTTTTTTTTTTTTTTTTTTTTTTTTTTTTTTTTTTTTTTTTTGTTTTTTGTTTTTTTCGGTTGTGTTGCCTTCAAGGAGTTGAGATAGGGGCCGGCAACGGCTCTCAGGAGGGGCCCCTGTTTTTGGGGCGTCCCTTTCATCCAGGTTTGGGAACTTGTTCGCGGTCGAGGCTCTCTTTGTCCAGAAACGCCCTGTCGTTTTTATTCCCTGACCTCCGCGATCAGTGCTTTGAATCCGCGGCCCCAGATGCCCCGTCCGCTTGGTTCCCCGGGGCCAGTTTCTCAGTCCATTTTCGATGGCCCCGGGGCCTGATGGCGGGCCGAGGCGAGCCCAAATCGAGGAAACACTCCCACATCGACGAAGTCACATCGTCGGAGATTTGGGTTCGGGGTTCGGGAAGGTAGCGCGAGGGGGGCGGGGTAGGGCTGGCCCCCCGCTGCCAGCGTTCAGGCTCGCGGGCGAGAAGCAGCGGCGGTCCCAGCACGAGGCCGCCGTCCGCATCCAGCGCTCGTGGCGCCGAGGGGTGGGGGCCCCATCAATGAGGATGCGATGGTTGGCCAGTTTTCCAACCACCACTATCTTCAGTGGGGCGGGGGAGGAAGGAAAATGGGGACGTGTTGCTCCTCCTCTTCTTTTTCCTCTCCCTCTTCCTCCTCCTCCTCCTCCTCCTTGCTCCTCCTCCTCCTCGTCCTCCTCGTCCTCCTCCTCCTCCTCCTCCTCCTCCTCGTGCGCTGTGCCCTCCAGGCGGCGCCACCGACGCCGCCTCCTCCTCCTCCTCCTCCTCCTTGCTCCTCCTCCTCCTCCTCCTCCTCGTCCTCCTCGTCCTCCTCCTCCTCCTCCTCCTCCTCCTCGTGCGCTGTGCCCTCCAGGCGGCGCCACCGACGCCGCCTCCTCCTCCTCCTCCTCCTCCTTGCTCCTCCTCCTCCTCCTCCTCCTCGTCCTCCTCCTCCTCCTCGTGCGCTGTGCCCTCCAGGCGGCGCCACCGACGCCGCCCCATGGCGCGCTCCGCGCGACAAAGGGGGGGTCCAGCGCCGACCCAAGGGCGGAGTACTCTGAGTACAGACGAAACCTTCCGGCCCCCGCGCGGATTTTCTGGACCGGCGCCGTCGGTCCGCGCGCCGAAGCGAGGGGTCCAGCGACGATCCAGCAGATGCGCGCGTAACTTCGACTTTTCACATGCAGGCCTCGCTTCCTCCAGCCAGCGGGGGCGCAACACCCGCTGCGTGCGGCCGGCCTCGGCCCCGCCGCAGGGCGCCGTCCTCGATGCACCTGGGCGCTCCCCGACGCCCAGGGGCGCTGGGGGGAGCAGCTGCGGGAGTTGATTCGGGATGTCTCCCCTGCTATACCGCTCTTGTCGTCCTGCCCGAGAGGAGAAGGAGAAGCGTGCTTCGCTTCGCGGACGGGTGCGCCCGCGCTGCGTTTTTTGGGGAACGTGTTTCTTTCCGGCTTGGGGCATGACGGGCGTCATGGCCCCGCCCCCCCTATGACGCAACGGTCCCCCCCCCCGAGTGTGCTCCGGGCACTGCCGCCGTGCGCATCGGGATCCGCATAGGTGTCCGCATGGGAGTCAAGTCCGCAGTCGTCGTCGTCGTCGTCGTCGTCGTCGTCGTCGTCGTCGTCGTCGTCGTCGTCGTCATTGTTTCTCGTCGTTCGTCGCTCGTGGCTCATCGTCGTCGTGCTTGCGGACGCGGCTGGAGCCTGTTTTTTCATTCTGGGCCGATGACGGCCGTTATCTGTGTGGGGTGGTGGAGGGGCCGACGACGTCACGGGCGTCTGGGAATGCTTAGAAATGACCGAGGACGGGTAGCAGCAGCATGTGGGTGGCGATCTGCACCACAGCGCCTGTGTATACCACAGTGCGTGCGTGCACCACAGCGTTTGGGTACACCACACCGCCTGTGCACACCACAGCAGCCGCGTGCAACACAGCGCCAGTGTGTGCCAAAGTGCCTGCGGGCACCACGACGCTTGTGTACACTTCAGCGCCTGCGTACACGTTAGCCGTGTACAACACAGCAACAGTGTGCACCACACTGCGCGCGTGCACTACAGGGCCTGTGTACACCACGGCGCTTGTGTGCACCACAGCAACAGTGTACAACAGAGCACCGCTGTTGCATTTAGAATTTTGTCAGGAATTTTGATGACAAGATGGAGTGTTTGTGGGGTCCATAGGAAACCAGTGTTTTATTTAGAATTTGACAAGGTATTTGGAAAAGGACTTTGTATGGAAAAATGAGCGCCGCTGGAATCTAGGAGTCTTCCCGCGTCGATGGCATCGTCCTTTTTTCTCCCTTCTGCGTCCGGGAATCTTCTTCAGAATTGGCTGTTCCAGAACCAAGTGGACTGATGGAGCTGGAGTAGGAAGGAGGAGGGCAAAACCTCGCATTCTATTATCAGAACTTCCCTGGCGTGGTGCTTAGCTGTCCGCAGCAGATCTTCACCTACATGCTCCTGCTACGTGTCTTGTGCACGCAGGTGCTTTTGGTGCACACCAGCGCTGCGTTGCGCGCGGAGGTTTTGGTGTAGACAGGCGCTGTGGCGTGCACAGGCGCTGCGGTGCATGCAAATATAGTGGTGTACGTCAGCGCTGTATTGCACATGGTGCTGCGGTGTACACATTCGCTGTGGTGTACATTGGCGCTGTGGTGCACGCAAGCACTGTGGTGTACACGCGCGCTGCGTTGCACACGGCTGCTGCGGTGTACGCAGGCGCTGTGGTGTACACGCGCGCTGTGGTGCACGCGAGCATTGTGGTGTACACAGGCGATGTGGGGCAGATCGCAACCTACATGCTGCTCATAGTTGGTTTCGGTCATCCCTTAGTATTCCTGGACGCCGCCGGCGCGGAACGTGATGTCGTCTGGGGGAGGGAGGGACGGGGCTAATGACGGCCGCTATCCTGGTCGTCGTCGTCGGCGTCGTCGTCGTCGTCGTCGTCGCTCGTCGCTCGTCGCTCGTCGCTCATCGTCGTCGTGCGCGCGGGCGCGGCTGTGGTGCCGGAGCCACACGGCGGGGGGAGGCTTTCCGTCATACCCCCCCAATGACGCCCGTCATCGCCGAAAATGAAAAAGAAAACGCGCTTTTGCGTGCATTTGTTACCAGTCTTGGTGTGCCCTCGACAGTTTCATTCTGTTTCAATTGTTCTTTTCTTCGCGTCCTAAGAGCGCTGTCGGATGATGCTGAACGGAGTCCTGTGCCCAAAGTCGTTATTCATATCTAAACATTGACATAAACACAAGTTTGCGGAGGTCCACGTAGATTTTAGGGGCGGCGCTGCACCCTCCTGGCTGCGCCGGAGGCGCCAAACAGCAAGTC